TCCAGGGAAAATTCTAGCAAGGTAGAGAAGTTCCATAGGTACTAGGGCCCTAGAAAGGTAGAGAAGTCATACGAAACAGAGACTCATAGGTCAATGAGCTTAAAGACCACCTCAGAGTCTCCAGGCTCTTAGAGGAGTGTGGTAGAAACAACAAAATGATTCAATAGGTTTCAAACACTAATATAAGTGGTTTAAACAAACATTAAACTTCATATATCCTAGACTGGGCCAGATGCAGCTCTGTATACTTCAACTCAATGTTGGGGTTACATTTGAAACAACTGTAGATTGTGGTGTGCAGAATAGAGTAAGCTGCACCCCACTAGGGTTGATGTGGACACACGATGTATGTAAACCCAACACTTTTCCCCTTTCTATCCTGCAGGCTCTTTTTCAAGGGAGAAGGAAAAGTGGTATGGGTACTGTGCGATGTTTTCATCTATTCACCCCCATTGAAAGGAAAAGCCAAATGCAATTTGACGCTAAAGTCATAAAGCTGAGGGCAGTTGATCAGCAACATATAGTGACAGCATGGGAGAACACTGTATATTTTCAGAGCTACAGACAGACCAGTTTTTATGTATAATGATGTGCAGATGCCACTGGCTGCTGAGGAAAAGATGTAATTGGTTTGCTCGAACAATTATACAGGCAGGCAGAGAGTAGAATCTGCTAATGCAGGGTTTTTAGAAGAGGTGCTTGGTGCCTTTGATAAGGACATGTGTCTGGCTCAGAAACCTTATCTATAGGAAGAGTGGTGAGGGGATGTATGGCTGGACCAGTTGCAGAGTATTGCATCAGATGCTCAGCCTTAAATTTTGGCTTTAAGCCATAATTCATGCCTGACATCAATTTAAGGTGGTTTGTTTTGCTTTTGATGTTTGCTTGATTGTTTAGTTTGGTTTTGTTTCATTTTGTATTGAGATGGGGATCTCACCATGTTACCCTGGATGGCCAGAAACTTACTATGGCAAACCAGGCAGGTTTCAAATTTATGGCAACCCTGCTGAGCCTGCCTCCTGAGTTGTGGGATTATACATGTGCTATTAAACCTAGTGAACAACAGTTTGTAATCAGATAATAACAGAGACTCTTAGGAATTGGTAAAAATATCTCTACTTGTATGCAAATCACCCACCTAACAAAAAAAGGAAAACATATTTTGAGATGACAATAAAAAAGTGAACTTTACTACACAGCCCCTTATCTAGCCAATATTGGCAACTTAGGGACCTGTGTGACACTGACATAGAACTCATTATTTCCAGACACCAATCAATGCCTTTGGTTAGAGTGACACTTAGCAGGGGCAGGTGTGTCATTTTCCAAGTTGTATTTTAAATAAAAAATGTTTGCAAAGATCATTAGACTTCTTAGCCTGGCTGTCTCCCAAGCCTAAGCATCACTATGTCTTTATGGGAGGTTGAATTCCAACTACATGTCTTCCTCAGGCTCTCAGCCCAAGTATTCTAAATCACATGATTTCCCAGGTTGTTATTGTTGTCTAGGACCCCTAGTCAGATAACGAGTATCGTAAACAGAGGCTGCACTTTCATTTCCTGGCTTCTAAGACCCGAATAATCATACAGAAACTCTACTAATTAGAACTCTGTTTGTCCAATAGCTCAGACATATTTCTATCTAGCTCTTACATCTTAAATGAACCCAGTTCTATTAATCTCTCTATTGCCACATGGCCATAGCATTACCTCATTTTCTACATGTCTTGTTTCCTTGGTGACGGGCTGAAGTCTCCCTTACTTTAAGTTTTTTCTCCTCTATCTGTGCTTGGATTTCCCATCTTGCTATATTCTGCCCTGTCATAGGTCAAAGCAGTTTCTTTATTAACCAATGGTAATAAAAACACATTCACAGTATACAGAAAGAATCCTACATCAGAATATCCTGTTATGGTTAAGTTGTAGTGTGAACCTACTAGGAGAATTGTGCTGACCCAGTTCTTCCTTTTGAGTATCTGCAAAACAAGAAATTCCCAATGTTTATTACCTAAGGGAGAAACTCTTGGTAATGGTATACAAGTTGGCAAAAACGTTCAAGTGGGCCAGGGCATCCAGTGCTTATATGAATGCATACAATGTGCCCAATGAACCACCCTTTGGCTTTTTCCTTTATTAGAAATGTTTTGACTAGAAGACAAAAATAAAAAACTCTCCATAAAGATCCATTGTGTATAATAGAAATATTACTACTATATTTATTCAGTTTACCACAAGAATTTGTCATATTGCTAAGAACATTGAGAAATGGAGGAATTCATGAATGTCATGAATGTATGGATACCAGCTGGAAACCAGGTATTCATACATAGGAACCTATGGCAGCCATTATCAGCCAAACTATCACAGATGTTGAACTTGTGTTCACTTTGTGGATGAAGAGAATGTCAGTGTCTATTCTTGACAATGTCAGGAATGGAAAGGCACATGGGTTAACCAGTGACTTCAAAGTATTTAGTAGAGGTGGAAGGGCCTTCTACTATGTCTGAGGTAGCCATTTGCTTTTGTAAGCTCCTTTCTCACTCCTTTAAAAAAATCATAATATGTAATTTTTTTCTTATGCTGCTCATGGACACCATAAGTAGCTCAGCTAAGGTGCATCATGTCTCCTTGTATACAAAAGCAACTGTGATCAAGAGGCTGTTGAAATGTGGGGCAAACTCGTCATATTAGTCAGATTAATAGTAGTGAAGTATTTGCAAGTTATTGATTGGGCGAAGTCATTACTTTCAATCAGGAGGTTGTTAGATACATAGGCCTTTATGGAATGGGGCCATAAATTAAGATTTTAGAAGCCACTGCAGAACATCATCCTTTGTCCCCCTCCCCACAATGCAAGAATGGGACAAATTAAGACCAATTGAACAAAAAAATGGAGAATCAGTGAAGAATCAATCTTTCGCTCACCGGCTTTTATATAATAAGTTTTAATCCCTGAAAACACATTTTTAAATTAAATGAGGCATGTTAATTATGTTAACATGGAATAGAGGTGGTAGAATCAGGATTTCTCATTTTGTCAAATAAATTTATGTCAGAAATTTAATTTTCATTAGGTAAGAATGTCTCTGCAGACTATGTGATACTTTAAGGCAGTGTGTTCTGATGACTAAGGCAATGATAAATTGTTCTGTTTTTATGCTTAACATATTCCACCAACACTATAGGAAACAATATGTTTAAATTTAGTAAGTACTTCTGATTCCACAGCTAGTGGGCCTTTATTTTTTTTTTCCTAGACAGAGTTTCTCTGTGTAGCTCTGGCTGTCCTAAAACTCACTTTGTAGATCAGGCTGCCTCATATTCAGAAATACACCTACCTCTACCTCCCAACTACTGAGATTAAATGAGGGCACCACCACCATACGCACAAAATGATTTTTTGTTTACCCACATATATGTCTGCCTGAGGGTATTGGAACTCCTGGAACTGGAGTTAGAGACAATTGTAAACTGCCTTGCAGGTGCTGGGAATTGAACTCGTGTCCTCTAGAAGAGCCGTCAGTGCTCTTAACCACTGAATTATTTTTGCATTCCTCCTTAGACTTATTTAAAGTCATGGTAAGTTACCAATTGGTACATTTCAGGAGATAGCATTGTAAATTGTGAACCTATATTCTGAAGACACACACACAAAAAAAAGATCAGAGCTCTTTTCCTTTTGATCTACAAACTTTTTCAGGTAAGTTTTAAAATTCCAGTCAGATTAGCTTGTGTAGCTTTGATCAGAGTACCCCACCCCCCCGTTTTCCTTTTTCTGTATTTAGGTTTTTAACTTTTATCTTTTAATCATTTTTTGTGGTGGTCATGCACTGAATATATTTGATAAAGGTGGTTGGGGAGGGTCCTCTTCACCTCTGTCATATTTATAAGTTTCTTCCTGAAATCAGTATCTTCGTGTTCACAGGTCTGCCTCATGGTTATTGTTAATTTGTATGTTTAAAGTTTGGATTCAAACCCTGCACAAGGTCTCACAAGGATGCCAGGCATTTGTCCTGTGGCATGCCATGGATGTTTCCTTTAACTCTAAGGATTAGGATCTTTGTTGCTAGAGAAACACTGTCACGGATATGATGCTGGGAACAAATGTTAGATCATGACTCAAACTTGACTAAAACCATCTTCCACAATAGCCCCACAATTCCTATTACATGGGCAAACCCTTTCCCTTTCTCTTTTTCATCACCATTTTTTTCTTTTTTTTAAATTTTTATTTATTTATTAAAGATTTCTGTCTCTTCCCCACCGCCGCCTCCCCTTTCACTCCCCCTCCCCCAATCAAGTCCCCCTCCCTCGTCAGCCCAAAGAGCAGTCAGGGTTCCCTGCCCTGTGGGAAGTCCAAGGGCCACCCACCTCCATCCAGGTCTAGTAAGGTGAGCCTCCACGAAACTGCCTAGGCTCCCACGAAACCAATAGGTACAGTAGGATCAAAAACCCATTGCCCTTGTTCTTGAGGTCTCAGTAGTCCTCATTGTCCACTATGTTCAGCGAGACCGGTTTTAACCCGGGCTTTTTCAGACCCAGGCCAGTTGGCCTTGGTGAGTTCCCGATAGAACATCCCCCTTGTCTCAGTGTATGGGTGCACCCCTCGCGGTCCTAAGTTTAAATAAAAAAAAACCTGCGATAATTTTTTCTTTCTAATCAGGCAGCATTTTATACTTTTGTCTCTACCTAACCATCTGTTGCACAGACTTTTGGTGGTTATAGGGAAATGTTCAGGACCTTATTGGCCTGTATTAAAAGTAGCTGTTTTTTCCTCAAAGGATTCCTAGTTCGTCTTCCTGGGTAGAGGTCCACATCCAGAAAAGTCCTAAGTCTATTGCTTGCATGGGGTCTTGGGCTTGTGATTGTGACTTAGCTTTTTGGTGTGCTTTTAGGCAACAGTGTAGAGCCCAGGGAATATTGGCAATGGGTTTTGCATCCCAAGATTGGTTGAGTGCCAAATGCGCCTTCCTCTCCCTATCCCCTTTTTGTTTTCATCAGCACCTGGGCCACAGGCCACGGGCCGCCATGGATGTGAACCTTGATGCCCTTGGGGGTCAAAAGGAAACAAGTGACAGCAGCAAGGGAAGCGACAGCCCAGGAGTCCAGCAAGGTAACTACCCCTGCATGAACAACACCTGGAATGCCATGCTTGATTCTCTGCAAGATGGTGGTCTTCTTCCTTTCCACGATCTTACAAAGGGTTGTCCTTTGGCTTGTCCCTTGTACTCACAATTACAAACATCTGTATTGTAACCTCAAGTAACCCATGGCAGTCACCGGGATAGACACAGTGACCAGAGAACTCTAGAGTGAATCATAGAAAGTAAGGCTGAACTTCTACTTGGTCAGGGTGCTGCCCTTTTGTTGGAAAGAAGCTGCTTGTTGGTTCCCGGCTGCTCAGCCCCGAAATAATCACACAGAAACTACATTATTTAAAACACTGCCTGGCCCATTAGCTCTAGCTTCTTATTGGCTAATTACTACATATTAATTTAACCCATCTCCATTAATCTGTGTATTGCCACATGACAGTGGCTTACCGGCTAAAGTTGTGGTGTCTGTCTCTGGCAGGGCTCCATGGCTTCTCTATGATTCTGCCTCCTTTCTCCCAGCATTCAGTTTAGTTTTTCCCACACTGCCTAAGTTCTGCCCTATCAACAGGCCAAAGCAATTTCTTTATTCACCTATGGTATTCACAGCATACAGAGTCCCACATCACTGAGCAGAAGCCTCAGTAAAAGGAGTGTTTAACCTGATACCATTTGACATCACCTTGAACACAAGAGAATTGTTGTATGGAAAGAGACAATAATGGTTGATAGAAACAACATGTTACCACATAGCCCATAGCTCAGAGTCTCCAGCAGTTAGAGGTCCTGTTTCAGCTCTTGACTTATTTCAGAACCAGCTACCCAAGTGCAGTTACTTTATCATAACTAGATATTCTTTAGATATCAATGCTTTGAAGGCTATGTAATTCCTAACACCAGTAATTTGCATTTCTTCCTGTTCACCTCATTGGTGAGGCAGAGATGTCCTCTCTGAGAACCTGGAAGCAGTTGAACACATGGATCATTGAACAGACAATATCCACAAAAGTTTGGGATCACAAATGCTCATAGGACAAGGCCAAGAACACTGGAGGCCAAACAAAGACTTGAAGAGGTCAGAGTGAATAACCAGGCGCTGTGAACAGTAAAGAGAAAATCCTGTCCATGATTTCCCAAAGAGGTTAGGATTTGCCGTGCACCTACTCGGAGCTAAAGTCTGCTACTAGGGATAAGCAGGAATTGTGCCTGCTCCCCACAATAAGGATGTATTAACTAGGGTTCCACCATGGCAGCAGAGTGAAGAGAGAAACAGACCATTAAGTAAAACAAGGCTCTCACCATTTTACCAGAGTTTGAAACAGCACAGAAAATCACCTTAATTTTAATGCCATAGGCCACAGGAAGGAACGAATCCTGTAGCTGGTCATGAATTATTGGGAAATGCATGGTGAGAATAAATTTTACTTTCTTTTTTTATTGATTTCTATTATCTCTACATTTTTCTTTACTTACCTCCCTGCTTCTCCACTCCCCTTCAACCCTCTCCCAAGGTCCCCATGCTCCCGATTTACTCAGGAGATCATGTCTTTTTCTACTTTCCATGTAGATTAGATCTATGTATGTCTCTCGTAGGGTCCTCATTGTTGTCTAAGTTCTCTGGAATTGTAATTTGTGGGCTGATGTGAAAGTAAATGGTATTATTATTTTGAGCTAAATGACCGTCAAGACTAAGAAGGAGAAATGAGAACCTGTGATTTAAAATAAAAACTATTAAACAATATTACATTTATATATTTGAATATCTATAAATGTGCAAATGTATGACCAAATGAAAGGGAAACTTTGTTAGTACTTGGATGTAGAAAAATTGAAATTTAAAACCAGAGTTAACTTTTCTAGAATTATGGACAACTTAGTGACCAAGCAAACAAACCCCAAAACTATGACAACCATGAAAACCAAATACATGATATGTTTAACATCAGGATCAAATATTTTTAAAACTCTTTTTTAATTGATAACTATGTTGGCAAATAAGAAAGATAATTTTTCATGAGCTCAGAAGAATAAAAGTTTACAAAGATCAAGGTGAGTGCTAAGTGATGCCTCTTTACTTCTCGGTCTCTCTCTCTCCCCCAAACTCTTGAATAAACTTCTGTTTATTCTAGTCTCATTTCAAGTCTAAGGACCAGGATGAACGACTGTTGCTCCAGTCCAAGTCCAAGTTCAATGGTAGAGGAAATCTGATGCTGTAAGTCAAAGACAGGCAGAGGGATCAAGTTCTTCCTTATCCAATCTAGGGGGTGTGACGAAGCCTGCCCACCCTGGAAAGAACGATGTGTTTTGCATATGCCCATGATGTTAGATTTAAATCTCATCCAAAACCACTCTCCATATCCAGCTAAAGCTTAATCACAATCAGAGCATCCAATGGCCCATTTAAGTTGACTTGTAAAAGTAATCATTGCCGTTGTCAAACGTCATAACTGTCAGCGTGGAATGAAGTGAGATGATACTGAGGTGTGCTTGGTCAGGTTCAACTTGGAAGAGTTGTTCCTGTCAGAATGAGGGTAGGAATAGATATTTTATATATACAAAGAGCAGAAGGCTCCATGAATTTTTAAAGTTTATGCTGTAAGGGAAACAAGGTGAGCTATTTCAGGGGTTACAATATAGTAAAGAATTTTGTGAAAAATACCAATTTTATGGATATATATGTGATCAATTACCAAATAGATATACATGCCATACATTTAGATATGTCAAGTTATAAGTGACCTAATTTTATGTAGTTGAACAAAAACTGTGTATGTAATTAGAAATATTAAATACTGCTATGAACTGTTGAATTATCCAACTTGTCTTAATGAAAATATTTATAATGTGAAGTCCACTAAAATACTATATTTGATGCTATCTGTAACATACTCATTGAATTTTAGATAAAATAGTATAGGCTGTATTTACTATTAACAAACTATTTTTAATAAGTCATTAGATGGGATACCTTAAGGTCTTGATTTTTGCTCTTATTTTGATATAAAGCCATTCATGGCCATCTGCATTTGGAAACAATAGGCTTTTCTATAGATTTGCTCATCAAACTTTTCTTCCTACTAGCCGTCTAATAGTTTTCCTTGACATTGGTCTCTATTTCTAGGTAACGCTTCTCATACTCATTTTTCCTATGTAACATGGAGTTTTTTTTTGATTTTCCAGTGCTCAGAGAAAAAGATGCAATCATTTATTTTAATGACATTTGATTCTCTGTGATATGACTGCAGTTATGCAGCAACTCAGCAACAATCTATGTCAGCTAGGTATTCCCTTCTTTAAGCGGGGGAACTCAACTTTTACACGAGTGTCATTGTTGTGTTCTTAGTCTCTTTGTGGCTGATTCCCCAGAATTTGGCACTGAGCGAAGCCCTCTGCAGATACTCAGTAAGACATGGGCTGAAAGCAGCTGAGCTGTGCTGAGCAACTGTCCCAGGAGACGCAGATGGAAGCATTAGTGAGGATGGATGGACTCCCGTCTTTCCCTCTTAGCTAGGCTAATTCTCACCTTCTGTTTCTTTAAAATAGACTGATGACTACCCTAAAACACAAGATTGCACAAGGGAATTTTCATCAGAGGGCTTAAAAGCAGGGCATGTTCAAAATGATTTTGTAAGTTTTCCTACTATAAACATCCTCTATGTATATATGTAATAACCACTAAAAAGAAACCATGAATTTGAGAGAGATCAGGACAGAGGATGATGTGAGAGGTTGGAGGAAGGAGAGGGAAGGAGGGAAGTTATGTAACTATGACTTTGAAAGCAGAAACAAGTACCTTTAAAAACTGTCACTACAGAAAGTTTGGAAAATAATGAAGTTTGGAGGGAAAAACAAAAATCACAGCTGGTAGCTCCACCCGTAAAGGACTCCTGTTTTAATGCATTTCTCTTAAAGTGTTGTTTCTTCAGGCATTTTGAAAAATGTAATAGATGCATACAGGTTACAATTTTTTTTTTTTGGTTTTTTGAGACAGGGTTTCTTTGTAGCTTTGGTGCTGGTCCCGGAACTAGCTCTTGTAAACCAGGCTGGCCTTGAACTCCCAGAGATCCGCCTGCCTCTGCCTCCCGAGTGCTGGGATTAAAGGCATGCGCCACCACCACCCGGCCCTTCACTTGTTTTTTAAAACACATTTTGAATACTATTTTCTTGAACTCATTGTACTTACGTAACAAAACTAGAGTGACACTTTTATTTTACAAAAGATTTTGTGCAGGTTAAGGGAATCCATTTAAATATCTTTTCATCTGTTTAACTTGATTATAGGATAATATAAGCATTATGATGTGAGGAACAAAAAGCATTTTGAAGAGATGATTTTTCATGTTATTTGTTATTCAGTTCTTTTTTTATTTATGACGTACAAAGTCCTCTAAATGCTGAAAATTTTCCTACTGTG